GGGGGGGGGGGGGTTGGTTTTTGGGTGTTTTTTAGGACATATCTTAATAGTAGAACTGTCCTATAAGAAAATTATCAATCAAAGAAATTTGGAAATCAGGACATTTTATTCTACAATTGAAAGCCATTCCCTCTCATCCTGTAACTACATGTCCTTGTAAAAAGTCCCTTTCCAACTCTCTTGCAGCCATTTTTAGGTATGGAAGGTCACCATAAGGTCTCCCCAAAGTCCTCCAGGATGAACAATCTGAACTGTCTCAGTCTGTCCTCATAGGAAAGATGTTCCATCTCTCTAATCATCTTTGTGTCCTGCTGGATTCACTCCAACAGGTCTTGTCCTTCTTGTGCTGTGCTCAATGTAAAGTCACAGTACGCCATTCTGGTAAGGGATTGAGAACCTGGATGGAAAATTTGCACTTTTATCTCCGTATCTAATTTGTTCTTCCAGCAATGCATGATCCCATAAGCCCCAATTTGAAAGCACTCCCATTTCTCACATACCTAATTCCTATAGGGAAGGTATTCCCATATCCCCAAGCTTGAATGGTTTGAAAGCTGCAGACAGTCAAACTGTTGAACAGTGGGACATTTGTAGGGAAAAAATAAACATTTTCATATTTCTTCTCCAGCACCAGATAACAGAAAAATTCAAAAGCCTGAATCACATAACAAAGAGATCATCACCAAGAGATAGGAACATCCTTAAAACCTTTATAACAGATATTGTGGGTCCTACCACTAAGAAAGCCTGACTTTGAGGCTGGCTTTACAACTGGTATTTGTCAGTGATCTCAAAAAAATAAAATTCAGAACAACTCCCACCCAAAATAAAATCCTTTGAGATTTGCACAAGATTCCACATAGATCTGAGTCAGTTATTATTCTTCTCCCCTTTTTTGTTTTACCCCATGGCAGGGCTCGGAGCACCAATCCACCCTGCTTCTACTGCCAGTGGAAGATTTATCCTGCAAGCTCCTAAACAAACAGCATCAGAAATGACTTGGAACATCACTCACTTCTTTATTTTCCTGAAGTGTGAGACCTGCCTTGACTACCAAGGAACAGTCTAATATTCATTAATTATTTAGGAGGTGTGTACATAATTTATTTGTTGCCTACTACCCTTTTCTTTAATTCACCATAGCACTGCAGCAGGTCAGAACAAGATTACACAGAGAAATGATACACACTTCAGAATTTGGCACCCTGGGACAAACTTTTCCTTCTCCAAGCCTCCCACCTAGCAGTCTAACAAAATTAGCAAATGTTCATCACAAATAGCCATAAAGGGTGTTATTGGCAAAGGTGTGATCATTTGTCTCACAAAATACAATTTGGCAGGCTCTGTAGCTTGTTAAATGAGCTAATTTGAATACAATTTATTAAACTGTTTAACTAAATTAATGTAAATTTCTATTGGTTTTTACATCTAAAATATTTTTAAAACTTTAATCACTAATATTTTGCTAAAAGATATCCAGTAAAACCCTGTCACTTGTCACAGAATAAAGCCTCATTGCATGACTAAGCAAAACCTGTAAGGTCAAAGCACAAAAATACTTTAATTCTTTTCTTAAGTCAGTAGTCATGCACTTCTTTATTCAGGAAAAACTGTACTAAAATTGCACATAATGAACTGCAAGGTTTTAGGGGAGAGAACGTGACAGAGTCACATTAAGGTGAAACAACACAACAATAGTTGAATGTGACAAAGATTAGAGAAACTGCCGACTCCTCAGCAGAACGTGCCCCTCTCTGTTCAGTCTTCAAGGACATGTTTATAAATCTCTCACAAAGAGATGCTCTCCTTGCTTCCTATAAAGCTCACCATGGCAAGTCAAACACCTCTGCACAGATTGAGAGAGAATGAAAGATGTTATTACATGGCTCTTGCTATATTGCGGCAGGCATTGGGGCTGGCCCTAGCACTGAAAATTTATTTAAATGGCCCTCATGCTTTATCACACCCAGAAAAAGAATTATTTTCAACTGAAGTAGAACTCCTTTGCCTCTTTGTGTGTTTGTTTGCTCTGAACATGTCATTCTCCCAGTTTAGAAAACAACAGAGCCTTTCCTTCAGGCAATGGTAACTTGGCTGAGAGCCCAAACATAGGACATGAACATGCCAATCTCATTTCCATCACAGAATACTTCCATGGACATAGAAATCATACCAGCCAATGTCTTTAGAAGTTCAAACCCAGAATTCCAAAAGTTAACCAAAATCACTGTAGTTTTTCCAGCTTTGTAAAAGAGAAATAAAATAGCTCAACCATTCCAGTAATACTGATCTGTACAAGGTAAATCTATGGATGCTTTTATTATTTCAATACTCCTTTCAAGACCACTTAGCTCAGCTAGGCTGAGACATCTCTGTCAACAATCAATGCCTTATCACCAAATTTATTGTCAGTCTAGACCAGCTGGAGACTACAATGATGGCGAAAACTACTGCTCAAAGACAGTGCTGAGCTTGCAGTAAAATCAACCAAAATTTTGTGGTGGGTTTTTCCTCCATCTTTTCTGAAAGCAGCCACACCAAACTACTAAGAGCACTTGTGAAATCTTTTCCTAGGTTTTACAAGCTTGACTACTAAAATAATTAACCTATTAAATAAGTTTTAAAAATCTTTCTGAACAGATTAAAACTTATATAAAGGCTGAGTAAAGAATTCTCTTTCTGCCCACTCCTCATTTTTGGAAAGGGCTTCCCATTGCCAATTCCCCCTGGTCCTTTCAGTCTCTTGCTTTCCATCGCTTTGTGGCACTACTGGGCCTCAGTGACCAAGACCAGACTCACCAGGAACCTCTGCCTGTACCTCGGGTCATCAGCTCAATTTCAGCCCATTCTTCAGCTGAAAAAAAATGTTTCCTTTTTCCTGAAATTTTTGGTAATGTTAAAATAAATAAATAAATAAATAAATAAATAAATAAATTTTAGCTTTATTAATAATATTCAATCTTTTAAAGATTCAAAGTTTATGTTTTAACAACTTTGTTTACCTGACAAAATATCAACTAACAACACACATATATTTAGCAATTTTAGTTTTTGTTTTTGCCAGTGGCATGAAGATACATCATGATCTCATTTCTGAAAGAAAAGCAGAGAGGAGAGGTCATGTGACAGACATCCAAACATATGATGAGATCTTGGGAGCAGGAAATGTCAGAAAAAAGAAATAACCATTTCCTAATTTTATATTATATTTATTATATATATTATGTTATGTTATATTATATTATATTGTATTATATTATATAGTATTATATTAAATAGTATTATTGCTAACTTTTTATTACTGCAGATATTCTCCTTTAACTGAAATTTTAGTAGCCAAAAACAATATGATCTACCCAGCATAAGAAAATCTTATCCTCTTACAAGTGTATCATATCTCCAAAGTTATATTAATACTTTCTATTTCTAATACATGCCAGACAATTTTCCTTTCTCACAAGACACTTTTCTTTGAATCAGTC